ACATACCAGCTGGCTCATTACTATAGCACACTGCATCATAATCACATCTCAAGTGTGTGTGCTGGACGTGCTTTTGTACAGTTATCCTTGTTTGAACTAAAGCTGTCACAATTCCATCCCATTTACTAACGGCATACAGAATGCACTATATTCACAATTGTCCTAGTATACTAATTTACCAGTTATACAAGAAGTCAATTTACTGTCAGGAAAAGACAGATGTCAATCAATCTTTGGAATCCCATAAAGTACCTCAAAATGTTACATGTACAAGTACAGTGCTTTTGAAAATGTACTTGCTAATGAAATTATGTATTACTTTGAGTATGAACATTTTGCAACTTTTCAGATGTCTTCATAAAAACCAATTCCTCATAATGGTGATTTAAAGAAAGGTAATTCGGACGGCATTACATTTCAAAACGTATTTTCTTTCCTAAATTGGTGTAGAGACATACTTTCTAAGAGACAGACTCGCAAACATCAAGTGTGTTTTTCTGCATATTGACGTATTTAAATAGACCATGGACTTACCATTCCTAATGGGAATAGGACACAGCTCAGTTTTACAAAAGAGCCTGAATGTGACATAAGAGGGGGAGACGATTCTGAATGTATTCTGATGCCCACAAAAAAGTAACTGGGCTGTCTTGTTTCACAGTTTAGGTCTTGGTCGGCACTCCAGATACCCACATGTAAATGTACAAGCACTGGAAAGGTTTGTCATAATATGTCCCCTTTATCTTTACCCTCAGAGTGGAACCTCCTACCAATTAAGGTCAGATTTAGGTGATCAAGTTCCCTTTAGTGTATCCTTCCAGTGGAGAAAACGCCATGCAGTGGCCTCAGGATTGGACCCATTTCGCCATACATGCATCCCGATGCCCCACCACATGTGGCTGGTGCCTTTTAAAAGAAATATCACCCTAGCCCTTCAGACAGCTACTGCAGGGTAAGGTCAATACTATGGCACTCCCTCTGAATCTGGGATAGGACTTGAGAAAAGAGAGAGGGCAGTTTAAGGTCTTTACAAGGATGCAGTGGACTGTGTGTGTGTTTGCGTCTCCAGTGACCATGGCCACCCACACCACCAAAACACTGTAAAGGACTGACCTAGTAAGAGCATGTTAGCTTATGTATTGGAGCCTCAGTCCTTCTAATTGTTTCAACTGCAATAAAAGACATGTTTCAAACCCTTTGTCTCTTGTGAGTGTTTTGAATTGAAGGGTATTGGCAGATTCACAGAGATCTGTGAATAGTTTAAAGTTGGGCTATTTAAATATGAGGCTTAACGTTAAGGAAATGCATACAGTAAATGTCAGTATTAGGTCATGGCTAATACGGTCTGTATGCCACTGTTAGCTGCAAGCCGTCGCCATGTTGAGAGCCTTATATATGCTCTGAATATTTAACTAAGCACTTGTAATCAATGTTTTTACAAGAAGGAACACTCAAATGACTGTCATGGGAAGTAGGTGGCTCGTAGGGACAACCCACAGAGAGTTATCATTGTACTCTGCAGCTCCCCTGAGTTTATTCTCTTTCAGTTACCCAGAAGAAAAGGGACCGCTTGGTTCAGTCTCACGGCTCTCATCAGCCTGGTATTCTTAACATTGTCAGAATACTCTCAGAGAGTTCTTCATTTAGAATCAATTCTACCTATAGTCCTAATTAGGAGTGATTGAGTAAGTGAGGGACAGAAAGCGTTACCTCAGTGAGGAGATGTGGATCACCCTGTTGACCTCAGTGAGGAGGTGTGGATGACCCTGTTGCTAGTTATGACACTTTCTTTTAAAGAGCTGTGATTGTCATAGAATTTAGCCTCTCTTCAGACACGCTGTAATTATGGATGCTATTGCATGCAATGAACATCTGTGTTGAATCAAATGTAAGCCATAGGCATACTGTAAAAGTAGGCCGAGCCTACAAAATGCCAGTTCACAGGCACATTTGTATTGTGATCACTTTCATTTCTGGCATTATGGCGTTGGCTGGGAGACGTGAGCGCATCTTTAAAGAGATCGATCTAATCTGTAGCGTTTCGTTTACTCACTGTCATTCAGCGTTTGGAGAATACTTTTCTAGCTCTGTCTTTCCACCATGTTCTCCTCTTCTTCAGAAACTCTTATGCTTCTTAGAGTCCTCCTCTCTATGAGGGAAGAGGGAATTCTCAGAAAATGTCAAAATTCTAAGATTTATTTGATGTTTTTCAGCGAATTGCAGAGTTCTGCCCCCAAGTGGGCAAATACAAAGCAAAAGGATAAATGCAGCTTTGAAGCTTCATAGCAATGTTAACAGATGACAGTCAGTGATCTGCAGTCAGCCAGATATATAAAAGAACTGAAATGAGCTGTCAAAACTATCAAGGGTCAATATTAGGTTTAGTTTTCACACTTGTGATTTTCTCATACTTTTATCATATTAGGCGACTGTCTTTTTAATGGTAAACTTTGAACCGCACACATTTTTGTTCTTACTTGCTTTAGTAAATATAAAGGTGGATCCTATGGCTTCAAATAATAATTTTCCTGATGTACAGTATATATTGTCCTGCATATAAACAGTTTCATGAATGCCATTAGATTAAGTACAGTGAATCCGAAATGCCAATTTTGTTTTGTTGAATCCAGTTCCAGGTAGTGTTGAATGGCTCTGAGACTTGAGTTGACCTCTCTTGTAACTGCAGGTAATGTTGTTTTAGTACTGTTCTACTGTTCTAGTCTGTTCAACGACCTGAACAGCTATGCCTGTGTTTAGTAATGCTGCCACCTAGAGGACATCAAGTAACACAGTGAACAACTTCAGCAGGGCTGAACATATTTAGGTGGTTTGCAAATATGGCAGTGAAGTGTTCTGCCTGCTGCACTTTGATTGGACATCATGAGCCTGTTGGATTGGGAAAAATATGAATTCATCTGCCAATTTATATGTAAGATATGTGAACTGTAAGATATGAATACTTATGATTTTGCCTTTACATTAACAAATGTTTACCATGCACATCTTTTTTTCCCGCACATCACCTATATGACTTGACATTTATGTTTTCACCTTAACAGACTCTATCAACATAATGGAACCTTAAACACATAACAAATCTGATTTGGAAAATTATTTTTATATACATATGCCTTTTTATATGTTTACATTTGCAACCATTGAAATGCTTGATTGTGCTCGTTTGTGTTTTCTATAAAAAAACCCTGAATTTTCCAAATCAGAATTTTTAATGTGGTATTATGGTTCCATTATGTTGATAGAGTATGTTAAGGTGAAAACATAAATGTAAAAGTGGAGCTGTTAGAGACCTCCAGACGTTTAGCAAATTACGAAGGGCAGAGATTCTCCTTCGCTTTAGTAGAATGGCGTGGCAGATTACCGCTGGTAGTGACGGAGTTTACGTTAATGTTTTGGCGTAGCAGAGGCCCGGCTGAAAGGAAGGGGTCCCACCGTGGAAGGAGTAGCCACCAAATCGGAACAGCAATAGTGACTGGCAGTGAGGATATCCAACGAACGATTCCAAGTCTTTTAGCCAAGACTATCAATTGAAAAACAAACATCAGGTGAGATTGTGTACGGAACGATATGACTCGTCTTTGTGGAATGACGCTACTCTCTCTAGCATGTGCTGGCCCTGCTAGCTGTTAGCTTGCTAGCAAACTGGCTCGCTGACATGGTGATGGTGCATGGTGGCTGTAGTCACTGGCAAGACGTTGTATTGCGATACACGCTGTACATTTTGGGTGAAGCCCTATTTAAGTATAGCTCTGTAAGTCACGCAGTCAGTAAGTAAACACGCTCAGACATGCATGCCTTCGGCCATCAGAATAGCCAGGTCAATAACTGGTTCCAGACAGGCGCAATCCGTGGGATTTACCATTCGATAGCCATGCTAGGTTAAGCTACCGTGGTGGACGCTGCAAGAGGTTTTCCATTGCAGTTATGCGAATATTTGGTCGCTAACGCCATATAAGAAGCTACTAGGCTGTCTGAGACATTATTTGGTTACTTCATTTGTACTAAATCTTTCTTTACAACATAGCCTCAGCTAGCGTTAAGATAACGGAACGTAAATAAGATGATTTGCCATATGGTAACGTTAGCGCTAGTGTAAGCTAGCCGTCTCCCTGTTCATACTTTGTCACCAATAATGAGGCCATGGCTCTTAAGAGGGGTTGTTGCTCTGCAGCGTAAAGGTTAAGCAGGCATCTGCTAATATTTAATTAAATTGCTTTAACATTGTGGTCATTTGTATTAACGTTAGCTCAATGCTAATAACGTAAAATGCTTGGCAGAAATTGAGCTGCTTAACGTTAGTCGCTAACGTAGCCAGTGTTACTCGGCATGGTCTCTGCTAGTAACTGCAACCTTAACTTAATGGCCAAGTGTCCAGCTGAAGACTTGTATTGGCATATGTGGGTTGATGCTTACATGTGGAGAAAGGAGGCTGCCAAGAGTTAATGATAGCCACTCCATCTGAAGCGGTGATCATGAACTGTTCTGGCTAGGGCTCTGGACACTGCTCTGCATGCATGCTGCTCGGTATAGCTGCCTTTCCTCCCTTGTGCTAAACTGTTGGGGAATGGCAGATGTGTTGGCTCGTCAGTAGGAGCTCACAGGTGTGAAAGATTCAGACTGACGTTAGGATCGAGGTTACTTGAGCCCCTTTCAAACACTTCTTGGTAAATGTTCTTGCTATTTGATATTTCGCTGTCATGTTTAGAAAGTCTCTTTTTTTCCCATTTTATTCCTTAGTCTGTCGGCATTGGACAAAAGGTATGTCGCTCAAGTTCTATTGTGATCTACCTCTTCTCACTGGCATATACTGACTCTTTTTGACCAATGCCACAGATGATTATGTTATGCCACTATGTGTGAGAGAGATTTTTTCCCACAAGGGATAACAGTAAACCATACGCCACTGACAGATACCACCTTTCACCATCATTTACAGGTGGCCTTTCAAACTATTTCATCTTTATACCTTACAGTTACGTTTATTGTCTTACACTTAAGTATTTTTGTCTGGATGTGCGCACACTTGGTCCCCCAGCAGGTTAGATCCCACCAAAGTATAGCATTCATAAATAATCTTCCAGTATTATATTATAGCATAGGTAACTTGTTTTTATAATGCACAAAGCTACGGCAGTGGCATGTCAGTAGGGATTAGAGGTGGGTGGGGGTCGATTATTTTAAGAATCAAGATTCTTATCTTCTAAACCTTTTTTTCTACATACATAAACTAGACACTGCATTTGAATATACAAATGGATATTCAATTGTGAAAGAATAAGAAGCAGCACTACCGTGGCTGTCTGCACTAAACGCATGATTGGAGTCACACAATGTGTCTTTCATGAATTTAAAAAGAAATGCAACGCTAGGTCACCGTGTCCTGACAGCAAGCGTTGCGTCATGTCATGCAAACAAACCGCGTACCCATCAGCTGTGCGCCCAACATCAGACTGGAGACCAGTCTGATCTGGTGTACAATTTAATTTCGAAATTAGCAAGTTGCTGAGAAATAAAAGCCTACCAATTTTATTTCTGTCACATTTTTATTTTTTGTATAACTTCCTCTTGCTATTCTTTAAGTCACCGAGAAATACTTAAACCGTTTTAGTAGATTGAATTTATTTGAGCAAGTTTAGCATGAATAAATTATACATTTTGCCTTTCTGTGTTTTCATTATTGCAATCAGTTGATACAACTTTATCAACTATAAAAGCTCCACCATATTATACACATTTACTCTGCTTTCATTGCATTATTTATTTTACCAGAGGAGATCCTGCTATTAGCCCCCCGATGTAATGGATAGAAATGGGATCGCACCCCTTGTAGGACTTGACTACTGCTTCTATGTGCCTCTTGCCAGTAGAGCAGCAGCAACATAGCAATACAAACAGTAACGGTACCACTCAGAAGATATTTAGTGTTCTTCAAGGTATAGGGAAACAGTGGAAAGTTTTCATGTTTGTTTTTTGTTTTTTACATAACAATCCAGCAAAATGCTTCACCTCCGAAATAAACAGCAGTCCTACTGATTCACATGTGTTAACTGTACTTCTTAGAAGATTCCTTGCAACAATTTCAAACTTAACCGATCAGCAAATAACAAACTACAAAGTTAAACACTCGAACGGAACCGCGTGCTAGTGAAGTGTTCAGATTGTATTTGTAACCTTCAGTAGAGGTTTAACAAACTGAAAGTAACCGTTTTAATAATTTAGCAGCACCAAAGAGGCAGTTGCCTTGGTCCTGGAGATGGACTCCATCACATGTCGGCCACATTGAGGTCCAGTTCTGTTAAACCAGGCTGAGCTTGAGCCTCCTATTCTAAATTCCTTACCCGCGTGTTGACAACTTGCACATTTGAGATTTTGCCAGTGTTTGAACCAGTAGTGTGGTTCGACACGTTTCTTTGCGAGAGAACTCACTTGGTTGCACTGTTACACTTCGTCCATGGCGCAGAGCAACAACTCATCAGGTTAGATCTGATTAACTGTTAGAACGAAGCCAGGTTGCGTTCCGTTTTTAATCACTAGCAAATGAGAGGCGCTCCGTTACTATAAAGACTTGTGTTTGCTGCACCAAGCTGCTTCCGGCTGCGGGGCTTAGCAGTACTCGCAGTAGTCGATTATGGGCTGGCTCGCCTCGGTCTAGTGATGGGTCCTTCTTCCCTCTGCTCGATGTACCTTCGTCAGCATGTGGCACCCAGCAGTACCATACCATCCTCATTTTGCTCTCTGCTTTTGTCTTTGCAGAGCTGAGGACCCAGTCACAATCCCGACACTTCCCATTTGTGCAGAGGTGAGAAGTGACTCTGTGTACTATCACAGTATCAGCAGCACATGAGTAACGGATACAGGCTCTGTGGAAGCCAAGCAAGCCCGAGTGCTTCCTCTACATTTAAGATTCATGGTGTTTGGTTTGAAATGGATTGGTATGTCAATGTTTTCTGTTCTTGGTTTCTCAGGTCAGTTTCCAGCTCAATGTGGGGGAACATCAGGAGTTGATTGAGAGATATTTTATCATGAAGCCCAGATTAAGTGTTGTCTGCTTATCCAGAAAGTCTCAGTTATTACCTGTAAGTATATTTCCTCATACATTAATTCTACTAGCATTATTACCAGATAATCTTCTAATCTCCAGCTGTTCTAGACCTCTAAACAGGCTGTTGTCATGTGCCGGACAAACTGCCCTTATCTCTAAACAAGCTATTCTGAAGCTCTAGATAAAGCAGATTCAAGATCAGGCTTCGTGGTATGGACAGGAAGTTTCTTTGATCATAAAGCCTAGTGTTACTGTACGATTCTCTGCATTATCAGGTAAGTGTATGAACTACACTGCGACAAAGTGTCTGCTGACTCTTATGAACGGGTCCAGTGCGGGGTTTTATTTTATTTATTTATTTTGCACAATTCAAACAATAAAATTTAAAATAAAGAAACGTAACAGAGATAAATGAATATCACAGAGCAGGAAGAGGCAGAAAGCCAACTGGGCTTATTTGAAGCCTCCACCTATATAATATATAAATATTTTACAAAATTACAAACATAAAATAAAATACGCATAATACATTACATTACAGCAAAAGAAAGAAAAAAAATAATGTAATTATGTCGAGCATGTGTGTGCATGTCAGAGTAAGCGTGGGCTTGTGTTTGTTCAGGCATGTTGGTTTATACACCTGCAGTAACTCATAAGCAACATTAATGCTACAAGTCCCGATGAGTGAGACAACTCTAAATGTAATATAACAGCTAAAACAAGAAAGACATGAACACTAATACATAAACAAACTGTTACAAAACAGCAATTCGATTTTCTTTCAGGCATCTTTAAAAACATTTTATAGAGGGACATTCTTTTGTTCGGTGGGAAAAGTCATTCCATAATTTGGTTCTCCTAAATCTTACAGAAAATGCACCTCTGCTAGTCAGTAACTTAGGAGGATGAAGATGTGAAGATTGAGGAGTTGAGTAAGAGTGAACCAGTGAATTGACTTTAAAGTCTTGAAATGATCAGGAATATTCCTTCACCTGGAAGAATCTTATAAATGAAAACACAAGTTTGATCTGCAATTTCTGAACTAGAGGAGCAGAAGAGAAGTGTGACTCTGATCGGGTTGCGATCCTAACAGAACTTTTTTGGAGGACCAACATTTTTTGCAGAGTAGTAGGAAAAGTACTGATCCAAACTATATTACAATATGAAAGATCGGGATAGATGATACTGTAATAAAGAATGAGACAAGATGTCTAACCCTCTTTATTATTCCAATAGATTTGTTTATTTTTCTACTAACAGTCAATCTGTTTACTCCAACTTAAACTCTCATCAATAATAATTCCTATGGATTTTGTAGGGTTGATGCTCTAGAACTCTAAACAAGCTGTTGTCCAGGACTAAAGATGCTCTAACAAACTCTCCTCACTTTCTAAAGCTCCACACAAGCTGTAGTCATTATTCAAAGAAGCTCCAAACCACCTGTTCTTTAGCTCCAAACAAGCTGCCTTCACATTCTAAACAAGCTCTAAGTTACTTCCAAACTAGCTGTTCTTCAGCTCTAATCACACTGTTATTACATTCTGAACCCCAAGCAGCCTGTTCTCAAGCTCTAAAGAGGCTCTAAACTCTAAACAAACTCAACAATCTTTTCTCAGGCTGTAAACAAACATTTCTTCAGCTCTAAATAAGAATTTTGTCCAGGGCTGGGCAAGTTAACGCATTAATTAATTAACGCCGACAATTATTTTATATCAGTTTTTTAATTATTATTTGTAAAGTCCGTTGCTCACTGGCAGCGGTGGAGGAAGTCTTCAGACTACGTTGATGCAGCGTGTGGGAGAAGTATAGATAAACTAAAGCAAGACAAGCTAACAGATGCTACAGAGAAGTGGATACAAACTGCAGGTTAGTGTTGTGGAAGATGTCGGTCTGAGGAACGTTCTCACGGTGCGTTCATGTCGCGTTTGGTGTGAACGCACCTTTAGGATCTCAACGAATGACGTCACGTATGAGCCTCAAGACGCATCGTCACCAGAATAATACACGAGTTGTATTCAAGGAGAGGACGACTAAAGCGACGGCGTTACAACATGATATGCTGCCAGACATCTGCCTTTTGAACACACCCCCTGCATCGCACAGTCTCCAGCGTTCTGTCACAGTGTGTAAAGGGAATACTGCTGTTAAAAAGCAAGTGTTTGCAAACCAAATGTTATTGCACTGTTGTTCATAAAGCAGTGCTTTTAAAATAAAAGTGCACAATATACTACTTTTGCATTAATTATTGAATTTTGCGCATAACAATGCGATTAATCGCAGAAAATAATGTGATTAATTGCGATTAAAAAATGTAATCGTTGCCCAGCACTACTTTTGTCACATTGTGAACGAGCTGTAAGTAAGCTCCTAATAGCATGTTCTAAAGAGGCTCTGAACCAGCTGGTGAAAATACTTTGTCTGGTCAAACATGTTCGCTCTTTGACCAGATTATGCCATTTACTGCAGGGCTTCTCCACCTCAACAGGTAAAGGCCCACATCTGATTTGTTTAAAAAAACATCCGAGGACCACCTTTCCAAATAAATGAAACCTGAATAGCTTAATAGTGGTTTTCCCCTCAGCCCCTCTGCGTTTAGATGCCAGTGGGCGAGACTAGCTGATCTCTAGTACGTTAACGCGGTCTCCTCATCTCCCCTTCCAGTGAACTTCTGAACTGAAGAGGATGATGAAATGAAATAAAGTGGACGACTGGAGGAGCCCAGCCCCCCCCCCCCCCCCCCCCCCCCCTCACCTCCACCTCTTTGAAGCATGGCAGGCCTGCAGCTTGTCACCCCTGCCACTTCACCCATGGGGCCTTTCTTTGGTCTGCCATGGCAGCAGGAGGCCATCCATGACAACATCTATACACCGAGGAAATATCAGGTGAGGAGGTGGCCGTCCACATGGATGTGTTCAATTGTAAATGCATCCAGGCTGAGGTGTATCAAGAGCTCTTCATTGCTGTTCTTTTGTATTGTATTGACTTTCCTCCATTAGCTGACTGTCTGTGGCCCTGTACTTCCTCCACAGGTAGAGCTTCTGGAAGCAGCTATTGAACATAATACTATCGTCTGCTTGAATACTGGCTCAGGGAAGACCTTTATTGCAGTACTTCTAACAAAGGAGCTCTCCCACCAAATCCGGGGACATTACCATGAAAATGCAAAGAGGACTGTTTTCCTGGTGAACACAGGTACAGGACACAGTGGCCGCCCTGTTGTTGATGTGACACAGAAAGATTTCGTGTCACTTTTGTGGACTATGAAATACATTTTGAAAACAGCATTGTTGATACTCAGATTTCATTCAAATGCAAGTAGTCGTTTACATTTAATTGGATCTTTGCTGTTTCTCTGGTCTGCATTGTACAGCTCTGTCTGTAGTTCAGCAAGCAGCTGCAGTCAGGACTCACTCTGACCTCCAAGTGGGAGAGTACACAGATGTGGAGGAGACCTCATCATGGACTGACCAACGGTGGAGTCAAGAGATCACGGAGAATCAGGTGTGCTGATCTGTTTTAATACGTTAACACTGGCTACATGCTTCCTGTCTGTACTTCCTGTCTTACTGACTGCCTTTCACATACAGAAGCCCTACAGTTTGGCTCGCACATGCACTGTGGATTAATTACACAGTTTAACCGTCATAGTGTGAAATGAAGCCACAAGATCAGCATTGATGCTTTCTGGTCACTGATCGCTGATGATGAAACATTGTAATCAACACTCCTGTGTTTAAATCAGCGGGAGCAGAGCTAGAAACGTTAGCAGCACCTTAGCTAACAGCTAATGGTTAGCATTATGATGTGTTCAAGCTCTAATCGGTAGAAATGAGTATTGGGTGATGATATTGATGATAAATCCTAATGTTATCACCATGTGTTCAAAGGTGTTTTGGTGATAAACTTGAATGAATCCAGTTGTTTGAAGGAGATGTTTTCACATGAATATGAGAAAGATATTAGAGATGAATTATGAGCTGTTTAACCTCTGAACTCTAGCTCTAAGCACATTATATTTCATCATTTAAACTATTACTGACAATCTTTTCTTTACTAATTGTTGAATAGTAACATAATAACAAATGAATAGGTTAACATTTAGAATTTGTGACGATTTCAACACTGACTTAAGAGTGGTTGAAAGGATCTTTTGGGACTGTGGTGAAAAATAGTCTGAAGCTTTATGTACCAGCTGCTTTAGCGAAACGACAACGAACACAATCTGTCCTGGCCAATGTGGTTCATTGAGCATTTGCAAATAAAAACATGATCGGGGCATCTCTAAACATTTTATTTGCTCCCTTCTTTTTCTGCCGATCCGATCTGTGACTCAAAACCGAGGCACGAGTCTTGTGGTCCGTTCCCCCCCCATGAGTGCACCGTGATCGAGCAGCCACACAGTGAGCTTTATCTAACTGTCCTGCTAAACTCCTAAAATACCTCCCAGTCTCATATGATGTGGTAAGAGCCGTACGATTAATGTCACATGATCAACATCTTTACTCTGTGATAGGAAAACACAAAGTAAGTGTTGGGATGGTCCTTCACTAATACCAGTGCGCTACAGCAGAAGTGTCCATCCTCATCCGATTTGTTTCTGACAGACTACAACTACCAAGGAGAAAATATGTGCTATTGATGCACATCACTCAAACAAGCAGCTCTGAATCATGGTCATCACTGCTGACAAGATGTCCTTCTCAACCTTCTCCTATACAGGTGCTGGTCATGACTTGCCACATATTCCTGCATGTTCTGAGGAATAAAATCTTACCTTTGTCTAAAATCAACCTGGTGGTGTTTGATGACTGTCACCTGGCCATCACAGACCACCCTTACTGTGAGATAATGAAGGTGAGATGGCGGTCGCAAAGTCAAATTCACCATCTTTTTTTTCTTTGCCGGGAGCTTTGTGAATGACCTGCTCTCCTCTCCCTCTGTGCAGCTGTTTGAGGGCTGCTCGTGCAGTCCCCGTGTCCTGGGTCTCACGGCCTCCATCCTGAATGGGAGGTGTGACCCGTCAGACCTGGAGCACAAGATCCAGAATCTGGAGAGGATCCTGAAGAGCAATGCTGAAACTGCCACTGACCTTGTGGTCCTGGACAGGTAAGACTAGGAGTTCAGTTAGCTACAAAGTGATTTTATTGATCACTTTGTTGGAACAGAGAGTAAAATCATCTGAGGAATGAGAATTAATGACAGCAAAAGACCAGCATGCCAGTGGCAGTGACTCCAAGGTGTCCGTTTTATATTTCAGATACGCCTCTCAGCCCAGAGAAGTGGTGCTGGACTGTGGCCCCTACGTGGATAAGAGCGGCCTCTCTTCCTGTCTGCAGGCAGAGCTGAATGAAGCGCTCCACTTCCTGAGTGACTGCAACATATGTGTTACCAGAGAGGACCGCGATCCCACGTTCATCTCCAAACAGGTCAGAGCTACAAAGACTCATTTAGCTTTTTCTATTTCTTTTCTGCACACAAACTGAACAAGTGTTTTATTCATGTGACGTCACCAAAGAAGTCCTAATTTAATAAAACGCTTTCCATGATAGGTTTGCTGAGAAGCACAGGGGATCCCTGCTCAGGATGTCCCTGACTATGACCACAGGTCCACTGCTCATTACTGTAACACGTTGAATATGTACTCATAAACGCTGTCTTTCAGAGGTTCGCTGTAATCCTCTTCAGAATAATCCGGACTATGACCATGTCAAATTTGTTATTAAGTTATTTTACTGTCTCACTCCAAACCGAATTGAAAAGTTGGTAATTCTCTGGCAGCAGTGGCGGAAGTGCCGAGAAAGAAGGCGTATTAAACCAAATGGTGATGTAGGTTAACAAAGAAGTGGTGCATGTCATTTTAATCCTGTGAAAGGGATTTCTTGTAGTTAGAAATCCACATCTTTCATCCTGTTGGGGAGAATTAATAAAGCTTGTTTTTTGTGTCACTGGGACATTTACAGCTTAAAAGTATTTACTGTTGCACTATGTAAGGAATGAAATGCAGAGTCACAGTCAGAAACTTTACTCTAATTGTTATCAAACAAAGGGAAATTCTTTCCCCTCGTCCTAAAATGGTCCTGAGTCGATACCAGAATACTTCCTCCTTCTGTGTGGTACACGAGCAGTACCTCAACCAGGGCCTTAGTGAGGAATAAGATGTCCCTGGAACTTCATTTAGAGCCTGGTCCCTGCAGTCGAAATACAATGAGTTCCTCAAAATGTTACTTGTCCCTCGGGGAGAGTTCCTGCTGTTGAAAAGAGGCTATAATCCCTGGGCCTCTGGAAGCCACTGCCCCTGCAGCACTGACATTTTGGTGACAAGGACAATGGCCCAGGTGCTAAATTTAGACCTAGTTTCCTCCGGTCAATATGTAGTTACAGTTTATGAGTTCATAAAGAGTTTAAGGCCGTAAGTGGGAGAAAAAAACCCAAATCCAACTGTTGTTCACACTGTCTCTGTCCTGTCCAGATCCTGGGGGACTGCCTGGCCGTGCTGCAGGTTCTGGGTCCCTGGTGTGCAGATAAGGCCGCGGGCATCATGGTGCGGGAGCTCCAGAAGTACATCAAACACGAGCAGGAGGAGCTCAGCCGCAAATTTCTGCTCTTCACAGACACCATCCTGCGCAAGGTGCACGCCCTCTGCGAGGAGCACTTCTCGCCCGCCTCGCTGGACCTCAAGTTCGTCACCCCCAAGGTCCTCCGGCTGCTCGAGATCCTGCACGAGTACAAGCCCTTCGAGCGGCAGCAGTTTGAAAGCGTGGAGTGGTACAACAACCGCAACCAGGACAACTACGTGTCGTGGAGCGACTCAGAGGATGAGGATGAGGACGAGGAGGTGGAGGCCAAAGAGAGGCCTGAGACAAACTTTCCCTCGCCGTTCACCAACATCCTGTGTGGCATCATCTTTGTGGAGAGGCGGTACACTGCTGTCGTCCTGAATCGGTAGGGCTCCGTCCTTTTCTTTGTGATGTTTATTATACTTTCATATGTGGCTGTTGCTGACCTTTTAATGTGAAGTAAAGGTCTTGTTTTAACCAGAACCTTGACCCTGTTGAATACACTGTTGTATTTCCTGGCCACTGCAGCTGAGAGAAGTAGTAAAATGTCAGTGACTCACTCAGTCTGCGTTTCCTCCTCAGTCTGATCAAAGAGGCGGGGAAGCAGGACCCGGAGCTGGCTTACATCAGCAGCAACTTCATCACCGGCCACAGCATCGGCAAGAACCAGCTGCGGAACAAGCAGATGGAGGTGGAGTTCAGGAAGCAAGAGGAGGTAAACGGGCATCACTCACAAGAATATCCATGGGGGGAACAGTGACCTGTGCACTCTACCTGGTAGTTTTTTGCAGCATATTGTATTATTTTTAACATGATTATATTACACTTTAATGATAATAGTCTCAAAGCCAATACAATAGGCTATATATTAGACCATGTTTGGCTTAGTACATAATTGACCAAACATATTGAAATGTGCCAAAGTTAGATTTCTATCAAGAAGTGATGCACAGGTAAGGGTTTTTTAATATTCGCCACACCCAACCCGTTATGAGAGCCAATCCACACCGCCCAAAACGCAACCGACCCGACCCTGCAAACTGCCAACTTCACGCATTGTAGCAGCACAATAGTCAGGATTGAGAGACGAGGCCACTGAGCAGCTGCAGCGGTCCAGAGCGCTCTCTTTGTTCTTCCGCTGTGGGAAGATCCCGCCTACATTATAGTTAAAATTACGTTCTTTATTGTTGAATAAAGAACAATTAAGAATTTTGGAATGACCTGTTCCATTCAGACCCTGTTTTTGGTACTGACAAGATACCATAACAAACTATTGAATTTTGTAAGTGTATTTCACTTATGTGGGAAGCTTGTGAATGTCAAACAAATTGTTGAGTTGTTATATTATCTCGTTAGATAAAATAGTTCAGAAAGCATTTCTCA